TTTTTTTGAAAAGTTGCTCTGGCAGATCAGTGTTACCACTAGTCCGCACAATTTCGTCATCGCAACATAAAATTGATCGGGGGAGTTTTTTTTTTTTTTTTTTTTTTGTATTTTATCTCGGTTTATTAGAAGAAAAACACATGATATATATATATCCAACAGAAGATCAAGGAACAAGATAAGCAAAATGCATATAACATATAACAACATATATGTAATCAACAAGAAAAAAAAAGAAACCATAAACGGCATGGAAGAGAGAGAGAACACATATAGAAGAAGATAATGAATCACCCTATATGTGATATATGCATATGTGAAAATAGAGAGAATAGAAACTGTACATATATGACGAAGGCAAGAAATAACGAAAGAAAATGATATCCCCTAACACGTTTTTTTAAGAAGTGAAACATAATATAAAGTGTAGATGACGGGTCAACTTCTATGACTGAAATTACATTTAAAATGTTCCATGAATATGAAAATCTTTATCATATCTATATACGTATATTCCTTTCGAGTAATAAGCTTAAAGTTTAAATTTTAACTGTAGTACCATTATCGATTATAGATATATAAATTTCCATTTCATACTTCGATTTTACTTGACACAAATAACATAATTAACACCATTAATAGTCCTGGAATTCATTCATTATTAATGGAACAAACTACGAAAGGTTTTCTATTGTTACTAGGAAGATCTGATAACTATATAAAGTTTGAAATTGATAAATCGAGCTGTAGAACCATCATCGATAATAGTTAAGTAGCTTTTGTTTTTGTTTTGTTTTTTAAATAATTTTTCTATTCTTCATTGATACAAATAAGATAATTCACATAACTAATAACTTCGAATTCATTTATCATAAAAAACGAAGAAAATTGTCATACGTGATCTTCTACAATCAAATAGAAAGCTAACCATTATCAAATGGTAAATATCTCATATTGGTCATAAATATTTCTCTACATCTACGTAATTGATTTTTTCGAGAACCATTTTTCATGATACATCTATATGTCCAAATTGCATACAAGTAGTTGCCTATTGTATATGTTACTTGTTTCTGGATTTTATTCGATGTTATGGATGAAATAATATGTAGGTAAATAATTTCATTTCCATTTCTTGTTATTGATAAACTAAACTTATTTTTAATATATTCGAATAATAACTTGAATATTTCTTCAAAATATGAACATGTAATAAATAGGTGTGATAACGTTTCTGGTAATGGACAAAATAAACATTTCTTTTCTTCCATTGTTTTACCAAGTCTATCACGAGTGTTTATACCAAAATTAGCTAGTGATGTCCAGAATTCTATGATATTAGATGGTAAATTACAATAATGTATTATTTTGTAAAAAGGTATGTTTTTCAAGTGACTGATACGTTCATAACAAACTGGTGGTCGGTAAATATTCTTATTGATAAATTTCCAGTAAATTGATTTATCTTTTTCATTTTTCGTTGCTTCATTTCCTTGTCGTAACCATTTTGCTGTATTAATTGCTACCTCACCAAAAAAATGATTATCGTCATCAAAATGAGGAATTAGATTTGACCATAACCAAGGAGCATATTTATATAGATGCAAACCTACATATGGTAATGCAAAGAATTGCCAAATTTTTGGTGATGTACTTGTAATTGTCAATCCACATTTAATTCTGTAAGATATTACTAGTGACTCTAAATGTATAAGACCAAATCCACCATCTTCTTTTCTTCCAACACAAGTATGGAATTTTACAAATGGATGAATATTTCCCCAAAAGAAAGTATTACAAATTTTTTGTAGGATCTTAATTATGTCTTTTTTAATTGTCATTAAGGTGAACCAATACACTAATTTACTAATAATGAATGTTTTCAATACAGTTGATCTCTCACATAGATTTAATTTTATGGATGACCATAGGCCTATTTTCATTTTAATATTATTTATTAATTTGTTCAATTCAACCTGTGGTAAGTGACCTTTGTTATTCATCGGTATGCCTAGAAAGATGCACATTTCTTTTTCTACTTTAGCATTAAAAACAGGAGGATCGATCGAATCACTGATCCAGAAAATTTTAGTTTTAGCTTCATTTGTTTTTCCACCTGATGCTTTACTGTACTTTTGAAACATTGCATATGTTTCAAGTTCATCATTTGCATTATAAACTACTGAACAAATATCATCAGCATAAGCTAATACTTTAATTTCTACATTAATATCATCATTTTTAAGAATTTTATGAGCAATTGTTTTATATTGACTACCGGGAATTAATACACCAGGTATGTTGTGATTTCTCCTCATCAAATTAAGTAAGGGTTCTAAGCACATAATATATAAAAAACCCGACAATGAGCATCCCTGCCTAATGCCAGAGTTAAATGGTAATTTCTGGCTAAGATTGTTATTAAAGTTGATGGTAAAAGTGGAATTGGTATAAAGCAATTTAATTAAATTAATGAAATTGCATCCCAATCCAAACTGTTTTAATACCTCAAAAAGATACAGATGATTTACCCTATCGAAGGCTTTTTCCTGGTCCCATTGTGCTAAACCAATTGATATTCTATTACGTGAGTGATAATCAATAATTGATCTAATTAATTGCACATTGTCATGAATGGATCTACCTGGAATACCTGAGGTTTGATTATAATGTATTAATTTATGTATCATTTTCTTTAGTCGAATACTCAAAACCTTAGAAATAACCTTATAATCGATGTTCATAAGAGAGAGGGGTCTAAAGTTTTTCATAGATCCATTGAAAATACCATCTTTCTTTAACAAAGTAAGGAGTCCATTTAGAAAACCATTGTAAAATTGCCCTTTTAGTTTTGCTGTATTAATCATATGAAGATAACGTTCACCTATTACTGGAAATATAATTCTCCACACCTCAACTGTCAATCCATCATCTCCAGGGGCTTTTCCTAATGGCATAGTTTTTAATGCTTCATGGCATTCATTCATTGTAATATCTTGTTCAAGAAAATCACTATCTTCTTGACTAAGTGTTGGTAAATCTTTAAATAATTCTTTCCAATAATCTTTATCAATTGCTTTAAAATCATATAAATCCTGATAAAAGGTTGTGGCAACCTCCATCATTTCACTAGCATTTTCCACCCGACCTTTGGTTGGATGTATTAGGAATATAATCCTCGACTGATTTGCTTTATCATGTGAAAACCTTGTTTTTACTAAATTCCCTAAACATTTGAGATTTCTATCGACTTGATTTGAAACAACACTTAAAAATTTCTCTGTTAATGTATCTTTAATTCTCTGTCGGATAATATCTAATTTTATTAAATCTTCTTTTGTTGGATCATTTGCTCTAAACCGATACTCATTAATTAAATCATTTAATTTACGACGTATTTCATGATTGAGCTGTCTTTCTTCATCTTGTAAAATCATTGTCAAGCTCGTCTTGAAGTCTTTCCACCATTCCGTGGAATTAAAATCAGCATTTTTAATTATAATATTCCAAATTTTGTGAAATTTTTCTATAAATGTTTTTCTTTTAGTCACATCCGACTTGCAAATCCATCTACGAAAACTTTTGTCATTGTTAATTAATGGTATTTTAACAATCATAATCAATGCATCATGATCGGAAATACCAACCGGTGAATAAAAAATTTCCTGTACATTCTTATATATGACATTAGTACTAAAAAAAAGGTCGATACGACTATGTATGTTTCCAGCATCTGAATGATAAGAATAATTAATTTTCCGTGGATGTTTACGTCGGAAAACCTCGATCATTAATAATGGATTTATGACCTCTCTTAGTAGTGTTCGATAAGATAAGTTGTCTGGTTGTAAAGCTAGTTGACTCCTATCAATTTTGTTATTTGGAGTACAATTGAAATCTCCACCAATTATAGTCCATTTTGTAGTAGGAAGATATAAAAACAAGTCTTTAAAAAATTCACATCTCTCAGTTCTTTGAGTAGGTGCATAAACATTAACTAATAATATTGGTAATTGATTATATTCAATTTTCATATAAACTATTCTACCTATAGCATCTGATCCACAATCAATAATATTATATTTCTTCTTAATCATGATTAAGACACCACCAGCACTCCATGTTCCTAAAGCACATTTAATATTATAATCAAGAAAAGAATTGTTGAATTGATTGAGATGTTTAAATTTTGTCATATGTGTTTCTTGGAGCATAACAATATCATGTTGAGTTTGGTTTAACCATATTTTAAGTAATTGTTGTTTTTTGTATGTTGTTATCCCTCTTATATTATACGAAATAATTCTAAGCATAATTTAATCAATAAAATAATATTTTAATTGGTATAGTCTTTTTTAATATATATCTCTATATACGTATTCTTTTTTTTTTATATATACTTCTATATATGTATTCTTTTTTTTTTATATATATTTCTATATATGTATTTTTTAATATTGATTGAGTATATTTAATATTATTATAAACTTATAATTCTCCATCTTCTGTATCCCTTCCTTGATCCGGCGAGGAAGGTGTTTGTTGTAGTTTTTTCGTATCATTACATATTGGATGTTGTTCGTAACTTAAATATCGTTTCAACCCAGTTCGACCTTCTTTAAATTCTTTATATGCAGCAATGTGTACTGAGGTTGTTTGTTGTTGTATACTAATTTGAGAAATTTCATTAGATGCTAAACTTGGCATATCTAAATCATCAACATTCATATCTTGTTGAGCACTAGTTGGTACCTTCCCTTGCACCACACGGCACTCGAAATTACCACCTTGTACATCACCTTGTACATCAGCTTCATCACCTACATGTACATCACCTTGTCCACTAGCTTCATCACCTGCATGTACACCACCTTGCACAACTTCATGTATATCACTTTGTACACTTTCATGTACACCACCTTGTTCATTGGATCGTTTATTATTTTGAGATGCATCACCAAGAAAAGCACTTGGTACATCAGTTGAATTTCCATCTTGTATACCATTCTGTTCACCAGTTTGTACACAATTTAATCTATCATCTATTTTATCACTATCACCTACATTTGGTGTTGTGAATCTTGATTCCATATCATTATTCAATAATGTTATGGGAGACTGTATAATATCGGATCGATTTGCCGGACAATTTATTTTAATATGTCCAGGTTGTTTGCATTTATGACATATTTTTATTTTATTTTGTATTATCATTGAAATTGAATTTGGGTTAATTTCTTGATTAACGTTCAACGGTGTACTTATCACATTTGCGTACGATCTTTGTTTGCTGCATGAAACATCATCGTGACCAAATCCATGACAAACCTGACATTTCAATACATTACATTCAGATTTGTTGTGTCCTGATTGTTTGCATCTATAGCAAACCTTTACACGCCCTTCCAGTAATATTGGAATATTAATACCAGCCATTTTTATTGATATTGGAATATTTTGTTCATCATCAGGTGATTTGAACTTTATACGTACCCGCCTAACAAATGTTTTAATAAATTGATATGGACGAGGAAGTGTTTCACATTCCACACTAATAACTGGACTGCCCCATTTTTTAGCTATTTCACGAATATAATCATCAGAAATTGAAGGTGGTACATTGAGCAAACGAACAAGTTTGACTTCTCGATAAGGTTTGTGAATAGCAAACACTTGATCATCAACTTCTAAGTTTTCTAATGTTAAAAATTTTTCTTTGGATGCTGATGATTTAAAAATAATAAACCATTTATCATGATCACCTAGATTTCCAAAGGAATCAACGTCTTCAACTGGAATATATCTTCCTATAACTTTTATAACTGCATTCCGATCAATACGATCGTTACCTTTAGTTAATGTCAAAGCTACTGATTCTTGAAATAAGTGATGTTGTGCCATAACTTAGTTTTTATCAGTTTCCAACAAAAAAGGAAAATTCACCAGAAAGATGGGGAGAAGGGAGAACAAAGAGATATGGGAGTGGAGAAAAGGGAGAGAGGGGGAAAAAAAAAGGGGATATAGGAGTGGAAAAAGAAGTATGGAAGGGAGAAAGTAGAGAAAGAGAAAAGGAGGGGGAGACAAGAGAAGAAAAAGGAGAAAATGGAAAAGCTACTACAAAAAAGACTAAAAAGTTAGTAAAAGAAAAATAAATAAATATATAAGTTCAAAATCTTTCAAAATAATAATCTTATTTTCCTTGATTTTTTTTAAAATTTAATTAAAAAGCAAAATAGGGTCGGTATTTTTGATCGGGTGGGATCATTTACCTCTTGGTATAAAGTTGTAATAAGCAATTTTTATCGATACTATGAAGAGCACGACATCTACTTTGTCTTTACACAGTTCGCTTTTCGTTTCATTCTTTCCATATGATATATACAACGACAAAACACATGTGATGTTTCTCATACTATCGAGAAAAGTTACTTATTACAACTTACTAAGAGGTAAATGATCTCCCCTGATCAAATTCATGTTGCGATGACGAAATTGTGCGAACTGATGGTAACATTAGTTTGCCAGAGCAACACTTTTTTTTTATAAATACGACAACGATTAAAAAAAACATATTGCAATATAATAGATTCTTTTTTCATTTGTGGAAAAATGAATGGCTACATCCATGTTCCATATTATCTTTATGTAAACTAAATTTTAGTCATTAAAGATCATCAATATGTATGGACACAGGAAAAATAAGAAACTTGAATTTATCTATTTAGTTATTGCTTCTCGGCCTTTTCGGTTGCTAAGATCAAAGTGTAGTACCTGTTCTCGTCGGTTTATAAGCCGGTGCTGATCTCATTGAGGTCAGGTTCTTAGTGCCGTTGAGTTTGATCCACTCCCGTTTCCTTTGGGACACAGAAATCACATAAGAAATTCAAAATTAAAATATATTAGTCATTATTCATCTATCTTATTCATGCTGTTGATCAATCTATGCAAGTTTCTTATTATTATCAAGTTTTTTATGTTAGAATTCTACTTATTGATCGAAAAATGATCTGATACTTTTCAAATTGAATAACTAAAATTAAAAATAGTATCTAAGTCATTTATCCGTCAACATTTCTATTCTATTCTCATTACTTTTTTTCAAGTATTTCTCTGGTAGGCTAGTATTATTACCAACTCGCTTAATTTTGTCGTCGTAACATTTTCTTCTTCATTTTACACATATAGTACTCATTAGGTCGTAGGAAAAGAAAAAGGAAGAGAAAGCAAATAGAGATCCTATCTCACTAATATCCAACAAAATAAGTACATAGTTATCATTAATTAAATTAACACTAAAGTAAGTTTTATTTTCGAAGAATAGATTTCATCTATTTAAGAGTTTTCTCCTTTTGGAACTTATCATTATTTAATTATACTTCAGATTTGAAAAGATAACGCATTTATGTGATAATGTATCTGACAATAGTGTTTTACTCAAAGTTATAATATTATATGTCATTTTATCTTTATTTATGCTCTCATTTTGTTAGTTTATAAGTTGGTCATGAAAATAATCTATCTTCTATCAAAAAAGGTGAATGTGCGTGTGGCTGTGTGATGGATATAATACTCACACTCACATCATTTTCGTATGTTTTATTTTAAGATGTCATTAGTTAGAGAAATCTCCCTCTGAGTAGTGTAAGTTCTTCTAGAGAAACAAAACTAAATCCTGGTTCTGCCGCTAGTCTGATAGCATTGATTCATACATTCTCATTCATATTCCGCAGACAAACTATTAATTTGATTTCTACGTGATAAATACGATTCTCAGTAACGTCGATACAAACAAAAAGAAGTGATTTTTATTAAGAAGAAAACAATTCACTAAATTAACATTTCTTAAAAACAGGTTGTTGAAGTACTGGTTGTTTTCGCTCAGGTGACAAACGTGGCAATTGAATTCTTGTCTTTTTAGTATTAACAATAGGAATGCGCGGTTCTTGAACAGATACTTTAGGCTTGGTCAAATTTTTTACGATAATTGCTTTCGGCTGAGTCAAATGACAAACATTTCGTATGTGTGATTCATTCATCTCAGATGAACGAAGGATAAAATCGATAGTAGAAGTTGTTGTAGCGCTGACAATATTCCACACCTGTGATATTCTCAATAAAGCACGAACATCATCAATATGCGGATGAACATCCAAGGGATCGACCAAAAAGAATAATATGTCTATTCCATTGGAAACAATCATTGATCCTAGCTCTTGATCTCCCCCTAGCGGACCACTTTGAAGTTTTGTCACCGGCAAATTTAATTCTTTTTCTACTAAAGAACCAGTAGTACCAGTTCCAAACAATTCATGTTCAGCGAGAACTGTGCGATGCGGTTTGAGACAGTTGATTAATTCCTCTTTTTTATTGTCGTGTGCAACTATCGCTATTCGTTTACGATTCGACATAATAATACATTTGGCCATCTTGTTGATATGAAGAAAATATTCTCTAATAAATTAACATGAGATCGATTACTCTTTATATAGGATCTCAGTCGGATTTTACCAGCTGATGAATCATTCTGGAAGGAAAGAAAGCGGATGTATGCAATGTTGCACATCTTACACATTGAAAGATTACTCATTGTTATAGAAACGTGTTGCTAGTGTGGGAATTTTCCAACTATACAATCGACAATTCCAACATATCAGATTTTGACTCAGTGACTATGTGATTCACTCTGTGATCTCCTCGTTTCATTACATCATTATCATGGAAGTCACCTTCTCATCTATATCTCTCATTTTCTGGTTATTTATTCACTTGGCATTTCAACATTCATTGTTGTAGATGAAGCAGATGATTTAACAATAAACGATTCTTTTCATACATTTCATTAGTATTTTTCATTCGATCCCTCATATAGTTATTCTTTTTGAGTGAGTAAACTATGATTGGATCAGTGGTGACAGTGTGAGTGTCATTCATCTATACCCACACCCTCAGTCACATCCTCAAGATATTTCATTTCTTAACAAAGAAAAAAGTATATTCCATCTTAAATAGCATTACAGAATGTGGGTGTATGTGAAGGTGTCGATGCGATGCAGGTGAGTGTTATACTTGTCACACACTCACCAGCTCTTTGTCAATCACTTGTAAAACTGTTGCTTTTGTCATTCGTTTTATGAATACGAATTAATGCATGCTACATCAAAGCTTTTGCGTTCTTATCAATTACGATCGAAGCGTTATCAACATTGTCGATGGAGAAAGTTTGCTGTATGGTTACAAATTGTTTTGTTCTCTTAAAAATATTCTGTTGTTGGCAGACATGAAGAGATTAAAACAAAAGATTTCTTTAAATTTTAACCACTCCGTGCGTTGTCGAAAAGAAGATAAAATAGCATTAATTTATCTTATTCTATTTTGTGCACGATTGGTGAAGTTTCTTTTTCTAATATAAAATTGTACAAGCAATTATGGTGTCGTTTTATACACGATATCTAGCCGTTTTATTTATCAGAGATGAGGACAGGGAAGCTTTTTTGTAGCTGCCCTGTAAATTTGATGTAATATATATTATATTTATTAATGGATGTCAAAAATAACAACGTTTTAAATTGTATTCTGTTATATTGTTTTATTTTAATTGATGTCATAATAATGCTAGTTCATAGTTAATGCAACGAAAAAAAACATATATCATTACTAACAAGACAATATTTTTGATTTTTTTCATAAGAATTGCTTCAATTTTTCAGGAGTATAATTATGAGAAGAAGACAAACTAAAGTCATTTCGAACACATATTGAAGAAGTTGATATAATACCGAGATTGTCAGAGGATATTAAACAAATATCATAAAAAAATCAAATAATATGGAACTGAGGGTAGATGGGTGAGAGTGTAAGTATGGGATATTATCTTCGTCGTATATTCATACCTACACCCACCCTTCTCACAAAACTAATTGACTTGAATTAACTATCCCATAATCAAGGAAAATACAGTTAATTACCCTACATTCTCATCTCAATACTACTATAATATTTCACTTAATAATAATCTGCAACTTCATTACACAAAAAGAAAACAGAAAATATTGGTACTTAGTCAAATACTAGGACCATTACTATATCAAAGACCTCATTAAAAACGAATTTCAACGCAACACTATACATGTTCGACATAAGAAATATCAAATTTCAGTTCAACAACAAAAAAAGAGGTCGTCTGTGATAACTAACAAACAAACACAATTCCATCAAAATAACAGGAAACTAACTATATCACACACATATAAAAATATAGGTATCATAAAAATCCACCCTCTTGGTGCAGTATTGAAATTAGGTTATAATCATTTATTCTTTAATTTTTTTCATCTGATTATCAATAAATATATAAAGGGAAAAGTTTACTTTCTACATATTTTCTCTTTCACTTTTATATATGATTTTATATCAATTCATATACACGTATATAGATATATGTCAGAAATTATTTCTATATTAAATTTATAAATTTCAAATAATCTTATAATAACTTATATATAATAACTTGTTCGATCTAATAATAATTAAGTAGAATTCAGCTTTTTTTTCTACGTTTGAATTCTTTTTTCCTTTACGTTATATTATTTCATTGATTAAGTTAAAATCAACAAAGTTTATTTATAATTTATTTTTTATCTGTATATAAAAGAAGAAAGGCATTGTTGCACATTGCAGAAATAAATGTAATCACGTTCACATTATCAGACGATTCGCGTTCTGTAATGCAAATTTTTTAGTGATTCTTTATCTTTTCATTTTAACACGTTCGTACACATAACAACAAAATTGAATATTCTCGTACAATGAAAAATCCCGCTATGAAATTATTAAATAGTGATATCGTGTCTATTTTATTGATGAGAGATACATAAAGCAAAGATTTATCTTTGTTTCTATCATTATTTATTTTTAATTGTAAATATACAACCCTGAAGAGTACTATCTTAGAAAACATACGAAACGTGTCAGAATATTCAACTGTACATTTTTTTTACCCCAGTAACAATATAATCAATTGCTAAAGAGCAAAAGCTGAGAAGAGTAGATTATATTTGTTTTTCTTCGAAATAAATAAGTCAATTTGTTTTTTAATTGAATTCGACGTAAAATACATTTTTGAAATAAAATATTTCTAAAAGAGATTTACTTTTCTTCTTTATTATTCTAGATAAAATTAACAAATCGAACAAATTCGATGGTCAGTTACGAGAACAATCAACACTTTTTAACGAATTCTAAATGAATCATTTTTTTTCAATATTTAGTCTGGTTCAGAGTATGAAAACATTATTAAACAGTCTACTCGTCCACGAACAGGATTGTAAGTATTTGATTTATTTATATTCGAAATATATCTATATCATTCTAGATCATTATTTCATAGAAAAGCAATATTGCTTTTAATTATCATTGTCGTTCTTTTCCTAATTACTATCATTAGTATTACAATGTGGGCTATTTTCCTTAAAAAGGTCGAAACAAAAATGAATGGTAAAGTTTTGTTATAGAAGAAAAAATAAGAATTGAAACATTTTTTGAGTCCAAAAAAAAATAAGCTTCGCATGTAAATTCCAAATTTGTTGGTCATTTACGCATCCATATTTTACCTAATGATATTTCAGATCATATAGTTATTCAAGAAAAGAAACGAATAATTAAATACAGAACAAAAGTACTCAGTATCTAAAAATATCATTTCCATAACAGAACAATTGTGTTCTATTTTTGATAATGTTGAGGCGAGTATGTTAGAAAAACGACCTTCAGCCACACTCATACCCTAAATGATAAAATTTATTTTTAATTGAAATATTTGAAATCTTTATTCATTTATTTTATTTTACAAAAATTTTTCAATTCAAATCAATTCTTTTTTTCTTTATTGAAAAACAAACTTTCTTGTTTTCATCGAAGTTTTTTTTATCATTTTCTAGAACCAAAACTAAACAAATGGAAACAAAATGCCATCACTGTAGCTGGTGGAAATGAACAAGGACAAGAATTAAATCAACTCAATTACCCTGCAGGAATCTCTATTGATAAAAACAAAAATATTTTCATAGCTGATTATGCAAATCATCGTATTGTTGAATGGGAATACAATGCAAAAGAAGGAAAAATTATTGCAGGTGGAAATAAAGAAGGAAATCAAATCGATCAATTATACGGTCCAACAGATGTGATTGTTGATGAACAAA